AACGTCAGCTCTACTCATATCGTTGTGGGAAATTTTATTACCTTAAACGAAATATGGTGAATTCTTATGATAATTATTTGTAATTTCTGCATATCGTTTCATTGTTTGCCGGAGCGCCTTTTAGTTATTTGTCTGGTGTTCAATATTTGCTTATTGAACTTAGTGAGTCTATAATAACTGATGTCTTTTCAGATTATTTTTCCATCGTATTTCTATTTCTCTTCAAACATGAAGTTGTTTGTGCTGAGCAGGGTAGTGAATCAAGAATCTGGAGTTTTGAATTAAGCATTGGTTTAAAATTCCTTTTATGCTTAAGCAAATAGTCATTTTATGATTTAAAGTCTTCGTTGAAATCACTTGCTAAAGTATTATAATTTATCTCAGTTTTATGATAAACGAATTAATTAAGCTCGCTCATATTTTATTCGTTGGTAACCAACGCTTTTACAAAAAAACACATTCTATTTAAAATATCTCTATCATTTTCGAATTGTCAGGCCAGTTAATGAAATCGACATACTGCGCTTGGTATGTTGACATTCTTACATAGACCATCGTTTTTTCGTAAAACCTTTAGGTTAATTCTGAAAACCTTCTTTCTAGATGGTATTCGTTGAAGAGGATCCTGAAATTGGTTCTACGATAAAGCAAACTCTGGAATCTGGGTTCCCCGTTAAAGTACGCGATATTTTTACCCTTGATATCGTGGCCCATTATCCGCGTCGAGACAGGCGTCTACTCAACCTGGTCGAAGTCTGGCAATTCCGCATAGACACAGAGCATGGACTTGAAACTAGCCAGCAACCTCAGGCTTCCGGTGCCACATCATCTAGTCGAAACTCCAATAATCTAGTTTCTGATGTTACCCCAGGAACTGTTGGAGATGTGGTAGAAACGGATAGCGAAGACTTTGCAGTTGAAGACTTCGCAGTTGATGACTTTAGAAAGTCTCGGCTTTTCGAGAAACTCGGAACCATGCTCAAATCCATCATAGTTGTGTCACGTCTTCTTCCAGGTATATCCTATTTCTTAATGGCTTTCTCGTGTGCAAATTTAGTTCATATTATTCCTTTTCCTATTGTAATTTGACGATAATACTGTTGCTACATTATTGAAGTCTTTATTTTATAGTGGCAGATGGTCCAACTTTAAGTATATTTTATAGGAGGTATGAAGACCAGGATGGTGTGACCTTTTGTATGGTCTATTCAACTATGTTTGTTTAACAAATACTTCTAAAACTTACTAGGGAGTTCTTACTAATGCCAATGATCGTTTAACTTATGCTACAGATTTGATTCAAAATTTTATCATCTTCCAACTTTATAATTCTTGGATAAAGGACTAGCGTATATAAGGCCTATTTTCGAAGTGATTTTTCGATACTGATAAAAATTAATGTAAGTGGTATTGCAATTATGCAATTACTTTACTTTAGTTAGGCCTTTATGTTTCTCAAATATTTAAAGAATAGACTTTGTCCAAAGAGATATAATAAAGTTGCAACTAATTTACGAAACCGAGGTCAAATCAACACTATAAAGCTCAAGGGGACTGCGACCAAACAAAATCATAGTCTTCATATACACTATATATAATAAAACCTATGCCACTACTGATTTCCAGGATATAATGAATTACTGACAGGTAACTAACATTTTATGTATAAATGGTAAAAACCCAGGGAATTCTCACTGAATGAGCTGCAAAGCTGAGAATTAAAGATATATGCAACTATTTTTAAATGTTGATTTAGAGAATCGGAGTCGAATTCAATTATTCAGATGAGTTTTAATGGCTCATTGTTCTCTGAATATCCATTCCGCAAAGATTTTGCAACTGCGTCAACAATGAAGTATATGGATTGTGTTATTTCCGTTTCCATTAACAGATCCATTTATGTGGTTGAAATAGTTAGGAATTAATGGTCTTATTGAGCCTATAGATGAACGAACAGGATCACTACTACTATCACCTTTTAGGGTTCGATTTAATGTCACTTTTCGAATATTCTAGTACAATAAAATACAGACTCTAAATGTTAGTGTTGTCTGAACTCCGGAAATTCGGAAGCAAGGGTGAAGTATTGGCTTTTTGTGCTGGTCATTTATGCACAAATAATATTTTTTTTGCGTATCGAATATTTTATTTTGGCCTTTTTATAAACATTTAGTAACACATTATTGCATTGAGAAATTATCAAGTTTTATAAATATTGTGTTTCAAAATATGGTAAAGTAAGCTTGATTAGTCGGAATTTTCGCTTTTTTTGTAATCGTAATCGTCAATGGTTATTATTTGGGCCGGACTACAACTCGTCAGAGGCGTAAGGAGATCGTGACCATACTAAGGCCACACAATCTTGATTGAGCTTAAGAAAGTTTTATATTTTACTCAAAGTGAATGGCGAAATATTTATTTAAGATTAATATTATGATAAATAGTACTTAATTAATCCTTTTAAACGATATTGAAATAAATACTATTAATATTTCGTTATTATTCCTAAAGCCCATTTTTAATCCCTATTTCTCGTAAATTATACTATTTTTTTAAGCAATTTCGTTACATTTATAATATGATATACCTGGCTGTATCCACTTTCTATTCCTTAATCTCTTCTTTGATGTTCTTTTATATGCATAATTTTTCTTTCCTTTTTCTC